TGAGGTCAGGAGTTCGAGACCAACCTGGCCAACATGGTGAAAACCCATCTCTACTAAACATACAAAAAGTATTCAGGAATCACAGCAGGCTTCTGCAGTCCTAGCTACTCAGGAGGCTAAGGCAGGAGAACCGCTTGAACCCGGGAGGCAGAGGTTGTGTGAGCTGAGATCACACCACTGCACTCCAGCCTGGGCAACATAGCGAGACTCCATCTCAAAAAAACAAAAAAAGGACAAGTTCTGGAGATCTAATGTGCAGCTTGGGTGGTGATGGATATATTAATTAATTTGATTAAAAATTATTATAAAACATACATATATCAAATCATTACATTGTATACCTTATGTATAATACAATACAGTATGTGTCAATTTATTTATTTATTTATTGAAACAGTCTGGATCTGTTGCCTAGGCTGGAGTGCAGTGGCATGATTTTGGCTTACTGCAAGCTTTGCCTCCTTGGGTTCAAGCAATTCTTGTGCCTCAACCTCCTGAGTAGCTGGGACTATAGGTGCTCACCATCGAGCCCAACTAATTTTTGTATCTTTAGTAGAGATAGTGTTACACCATGTTGGCCAGTCTGGTCTCAAACTTCTGACCTCAAGTAATCCGCCTACCTAGGCCTCCCAAAGTGCTCAGATTACAGGCGTAAGCCATTCTGCCCAGACAATTAATTATTTTAAAAGACAAAAAAGAGAACTCCACAAGCTAAATATCCTGGCTTTTTCAACAGAAGAAAAAAAAAGGTAAGGAAAAAAATTGATAAAGGGGGAAATCTATGGATTGAAGCAGATCTTTCAAAAACAGACCAGGCTGGGCACAGTGGTGGGTACACTTTGGAAGTCCTAGGCAGGTGGATCATCTGAGGTCAGGGGTTCGAGAGCAGCCTAGCTAACATGGTGAAACCCAGTCCCTACTAAAAATACAAAAAATTAGCCAGGCGTGGTGGTGGGTGCCTGTTATCCCAGCTACTTGGGAGGCTGAGACAGAAGAATCACTTGAACCCAGGAGGTGGACGTTACAGTGAACCACAATCGTGCCATTGCACTCCAGCCTGGGCAACAAGAGCAAAACTCTGTCTCAAAAAAAAAGAAAAGAAAAGGTGGACTAGAAAAATAAGCAATGTTATTCAGTGCCCAGTCCCTAAGTTGCAAATGTACAGAAAACATTGAATTATGGCAATTCAGGGATAATTAATAGTTCTCAAGTAGGTATACATAATTTTCTGAGTTTGCTTTTTTTCTTAATGGACAACACTAAGCCCTACCCAAGAAATTTAAAACCCATTGGCCCAAGATAGAGTTTGTACCTCTGTATTTGTTTTAAAAACTTTCTTAGAAGATTCTGATAATCATGACTGTGTGAGAATTACCCACATAGGACAGTCATTATATATGGGTTAGGGTGGAGAAAGTTCCAAAAAGAAGGGAGACTTCAGGTGATCCACCCGTCTTGTCCTCCCAAAGTGCTGAGATTACAGGCATGTGCCACCACACTCTACCTAAAATTCTAATTTTTAATTAATAATTTGAGGACTATAGTAGGGTACTGTTTTGGGAGATTTGTTTTTGTTTTTTGAGATAGGATCTTGTTATGTTGCCCAGACTGCAGTGCAGTGCTGTGCTGTAATCATAGCTCACTGCAGCCTTATGTCCTGGGCTCAAGTGATCCTTCTGCTTCAGCCTTTGGAGTAGTCAGGACTACAGGCATAGGTCACCACAGCTGGCTAATTTTTCTTTTTAGCAGAGGTGAGGTCTCTATATGTTGCCCAATCTGGTCTAAAACTCCTGAACTCAAGGAATCTTGCTGTCTAGGCCTCCCAAAGTGCCGGGATTACAGGCAATGAGCCACCAAACGTGGTGTGGGTTATTTTTTATAGGACGGTTTACTTTTTTTTTTTTAGATGGAATCTCTGTCACCCAGGCTGGAGTGCAGTGGTGCCATCTTGACTCACTGTAACCTCCGCCTCCTGGGTATAAGCAATTCTTCTGCCTAAGCCTCTGGAGTAGCTTGGAGGAATATACTACCATGCCCACCTAATTTTTTTTTTTTTTTTTTTTTTTTTGTATTCTTAGTACACCATATTGGCCAGGCTGGTCTCTAACTCCTGACCTTGTGATCTGCCCGCCTTGGCCTTTCAAAGTGCTGGGCTTACAGGTGTGAGCCACCATGCCCGGCCTAGGATGGTTTACTTTTATTAAAAAAAAAAAAAAGTGATAAATATCAAGGCATTATCACATTTTATTTCATTTGTCCTCACAAAAACTTTCTGTGATTGAGAGAATGTAAGTTATTATTCCAAATTGATTAAAGGGATAACTGAGATACTGAGCACTTTAAGATGTTAACTCATTGAACAAATATCTGAGTGTCTACTATGTAATCCTAATGAGAAGAGTAGTTCTTAGGGTATATATCTTAGTAATTAATCAGTAGTTACTAGCTCAGGATCTTAGTAGTAGTAGTAGTTCTAGTTAGGGTTATACATCTTGCTAATGTCTGAGCCAGAGTTAGAATCTTTGATCCAGGATATTGATGGAAACATAGCCACATTGCAAGTATTTATGGCTGTTCTTCAGGAAGCCAGTAATATACAAGGCCCATAATGCAAGTCTTGGTAAATACATATGCTAATGTGTACCAAAAAAAATGTAGGTTTTTTGGGTATGTCTTATAAAGGTTTTGTGTTTATTAGGTATTATACATTTTTATGGCACAAAATAATGTGCATTTTTAAAAATATCTTTCATATGGATTAAAGGTTAAGACTAACTATATAAACCAAAGAGTGTAAGGTATGTGTCAGCAACCATGCTAAAAAATATTTGATGACGCATAGCTGGACTTGGTGGTGTGCTCCTGTAGTCTCAGCTACTCGGGAGGCTGAGGCAGAAGAATTGCTTGAACCTGGGAGGTGGAGGTTGCAGTGAGCCGAGAACACGTCACTGCACTCCAGCCAGGTACCTGGCAACGGAGCGAGACTCGGTCTCCAAAAAAAAAAGAAGAAGAAAAGAAAATTTGATGAAGCAATGTTAACTTTGAGCTGTACACCTTGATTTCTTTGCATTCTAGTATAAGTAAAATATAAATAGATGCTTAATATCTCAGCTGCAGAGAGACATCAGAAAATGAATTCTAGACAGGAGGTCAAAAAGTTCAGAAAAAGTCCCCAAATTATAGAAAAAATAAAAACTAAACCCTGATTTTGGTCAAATTTCATCTGAAACAGGGGTTCTCAAGCATGGTGTCATTTCTGGAATGTAAAAGAAGTTATTTTCTACATTGTCTATCCAGTGGGGTTTTTTTGTTTGTTTTTTACAGAAATTATACCCACTTTAGAATGGATTCAATAGAGTTGTTCTTTCGACAAGTATACTTTCAACACATTCAAGCTACAGATGAAGCCAGTCTTTCTTTTTGAGCTCTTGTTACCCAGGCTGGAGTGCAATGGCGCGATCTCGGCTCACCGCAACCTCCGCCTCTCGGTTCAGACAATTCTCCTGCCTCAGCCTCCTGAGTAGCTGGGATTACAGGCACGCGCCACCATGCCCAGCTAATTTTTTGCACTTTTAGTAGAGACGGGGTTTCACCACATTGAGAAGCCAGTCTTTCAACAGTTTTTTTAAAGATCTACTTGATTACTTATATTAGGTTGAAAACTCTAGGCACACACATATATGCACATAAGCATTGATGTATACATCCAGTTTCCAATTTTTAAATTTTAAATTGTATATTTGTAGTCATTGTTACAGGGAGATTAACAACGACTAGGGAAGGCCGGCGTGGTGGCTCACACCTGTAATCCCAACAGTCCGAGAGGCTGAGGCAGGTGGGTCACCCGAGGCCAGTAGTTTAAGACCAGCCTGTCCAACATAGTGAAACCCTCGTCTCTACCAAAAATACAAAAATTAGCTGGGCATGTTGGCGCGGGCCTGTAAACCCAGCTACTCGGGAGACTGAGGCATGAGAGTCGCTTGAGCCCAGGAGGTGGAGATCCCAACGAGCCGAGATCGTGCCAGTGTATTCCATCCAGCCTGAGTGACAGACTACCTCTCAAAAAATAAAAATAAAAAATAAAATAAAATAAACCAATGACTAGGGAAAGTGTTGTTTCCTACATATCACGCCCCACTACTACAAGCAAGAGTTAGACATTTGGAGGTTTTTACACGGTGCTATAGTTTGCAGGGCCCTGTCCAAATGGCCTTCCTGCTCTTCTAGGATGGAGAGTCTCACTCTCCACATTGCTGATGTGGTCAGACTAGTGAAATGACCGCAAAGAAACGCATTCCCTAGTCAACTTTACGTGCCTGCCTTCTGCCCTTGAGTCACAGTTGCTGGTCTTTACAGGTAAGTCTTGAACCCTCAGCAGAAACTGGACACCAGCGTCTGATGCCTCATAACATGAACAGTTAAGGGCGCCCCACCACAGAGTTTCTTTCTGAATGTGATGAACTATAAGGCAAGACTGTGAAGGGGCGGATCTTCACTTCGATTTGGGGTAGGTGACGCCTCAAGAGTGTTTCTTCCCTTCCAGCGTAACTGGATGGGAAACCTGAACCAGGTGTGCCTGGGAGGGCTGCTTGGGTCACCTACCTGTGAGTGGAAATAGGAGGTGCCAATGAAAACACCGAGCCCGTTCTGTCTACCAAGGAGGACCCTTGAATTCGCATCCCTCAGCCCGCTGGAAAGCCCTGAAACCACGGGACCCTTAACCCATTCCGGCAACAGCGCCAATTCACAGAAGCCAGAAGGCAAAAAGGCTCAGCGCGACGCTTCCCGCGTCTTCTAGGCCGCGCGCTGAAATTAAACGCGACGCCGGCTAGCTGGGGGCCGGGCCGGACCGAGCGCTCACGGCTCCCGCGGTCCCAGTAGCCGCGGCCACCGCCCGCCCCGCTGGGGAGCTGGGCGGGGCCGCCTGGAGGCAGCCGGCTAGGACCAGCCGTAGAGGAAGAAACGCCAAAGGCGCGCTCTGCGCAGGCGCGCGGCGCCCCGCCTCCCCAGCGTCGGCTCCCGGGCTGGCGGCGCGGGCTCTCCCACTCTACCCCGCGCCGCCTCACGGCCCCGGCCCTCGCTTCACCCTGACGCCCCGGCGTGCGCGTCCTCCTGCCGGCCTGCAGGCTCGGGGCCTCCGCCTGCTTCCCCACAGCTGCTCCTCGCGGCAGCGCTCCCGTTCACGCTGTCGCCCGGGCCGGCGCGGCCGCGGGCAACCGCTCCCCCTCCCACACCTACCCCGCCCCCTCCCCGCCTTTTCCGCCCTCCAGTCCCCCTCCCTCGGCCCGCTGCCGCTGCTCCAGATGAGGTGATGGCAACGGCCAACTTCGGCAAGATCCAGATCGGGATTTACGTGGAGATCAAGCGCAGTGATGGTGAGCCGCCCCGCTGGCCCGCTTGGCCCAGTGCTCGGTGTGCACGGAGGGGACGCTGGCGCCGGCCGCCTCATTGATTGCTTCGCCGGGCTGTGGGGGCGGGAAGGCGGCGGCCGCGGCGCTTTTGTGTGTGGCGTGTGTGCCAGTGAGGCCAGCGTGGGGTCCACCGGGCGCCGCTGCAGTGCCGGGGGCCGGGCCGTGGGGGAGGGAAGCCGGATGGGGAAAGGGCCCGTGTGTCCAGGGTCGCGCCTCTGAGGGTCCCAGGGTGGGGGCCTTTCGCTCCTCCCCCCGCGATCTCCAGCCCCCCCGGAACACCAGCCCGGGAGGGAGCGGGCTTCGTTAGAGATCGCCCTGCCTCGCGCTTCCCCCCGGTCTTCGGATATTACCGGCCTGGCCTCTGACGGGGATGGGGGTGGCGGAGCGGGAAGACCAGCGTTTTCACGTTTAGAGAAATGACCGCTGGTCGGAGGCCGAGATGGGGGGAAAGAGCCAATCCTGTCGCCTTAAACTGCTGTCTGGTTGTCAGGCCTCCCCGGCTTTCGTCCTCGACCATGCTGCTTTCTTTTTTGCCACTTCCTTGGGAAAAAGATGTGGAGAATATCGCGTTGAGCCATGAATAGGGGTGAGGGGAGCCATGGGAAGAAATATTCCATGGGCTTCTCCAAGGTGGTGAGACTATTAAGGGAAGGATAGGGGATGGGCAGAGTCAATGCAAGGCGCTGCTGAGAGGGTGGGGGTGGGCGACCGGATGTTGATATTTTCACACCCTCGGGAGAGGTAACTGAGAAAAGTGTAGGGCGAGGTGAAGACACATGCTTTTTTTTTTTTTTTTTTTTTTTTTTTTTTTTTTTTTTTAAGAGCCTTAGGCTTATGTATGTGTCTTTCTGTAGGTTTCTTTTGGTGACAGTGTTTTATGTCACTAGCTTGGGGTGTGGAGTGAGATACACCAGCCAGACTGGAAATAATTCATATTGTAAAGGAATAAATGTACGGAGGGAGATTAGTAAAATCATTCTTTCGGTACCAATATTGAAAGAACTAGAGATACGTGATAATCTTGAGTTGAACAGTGTTCCTGACCCCATGTCTCTTATACTGATTCCTTTTTTTTTTTTTTTTGAGACGGAGTTTCACTCTTTGCCCAGGCTGGAGTGCAATAGTGCAATCTCGGCTCACGGCAACCTCCGCCTCCCGGATTCAAGTGAGTCTCCTGCCTCAGCCTCCCGAGTAGCTGGGGTTATAGGCGCCCACCACCACACCCGGCTAAATTTTTGTATTTTTAGTAGAGATGGGGTTTCACCATGTTGACCAGGCTGGTCTTGAACTCCTGACCTTAGGTGATCCACCCGCCTCAGTCTCTGAAAGTGCTGAGGTTACAGGCATGAGTCACCGCGCCTGACCTGGATTCCTTTTATGTGTGGCTTATTTATTAGCCTTTAGCCTAGCGTAGTCAGTAGTAACTTGGCTCTCATGTCTGCATTGCCCCCTCTTGGATTCTTCCAGGTTTGACCAAGTTACCTGACGCTAGATTGACTTTCATGTTGTCTGTATGGTATATTGGAAGACCCTATATAGCTATTGATCTTTTTCCTCGATTATATTTGAGGTAATTTTTGGTAACAACTGGAACCATCATTATCCTGTCTATGAAAAGATAAATTATACTGCTTAGAGCTTTAGAAGTTACCGGTATCACTGATGGGAAAGAGATATCTTCTTTACTTGGGTTGAAGTTTCTTTTATATTTTCTCTTCAAATTACTTTCTTGAAAGAGTGCTATTAATGTCATTTTATTAAGGTAAACATGGGTTCACAGTATACCAGCAAAAGTAGGATTTACATATTCTTTTGAAGATTCTGGGTACACAGCAACCCCTCTTCGGGATATACACCCAAAGGAGAGGAAATCACCACGTTGTGGAGATTACCTGCACTCTCACATTAATTGCGGCGTTATTCACAATAGCCATAGGAAAACAACCTAAATGTCCATCAATGGATGATGAATGGCTAAAGAAATTGTTGTGTATGTGTGTATATGTTTGTGTGTGTATAGACAACATACAATGGAACATTATTTGGCCTTTAAAAAGGAGATCCTAGCTGGGCGCGGTGGCGCAAGCCTGTAATCCCAGCACTTTGGGAGGCTGAGGCAGGTGGATCACGAGGTCAAGAGATCGAGACCATCCTGGTCAACGTGGTGAAACCCCGTCTCTACTAAAAATACAAAAAATTAGCTGGGCATGGTAGCACGTGCCTGTAATCCCAGCTACTCAGGAGGCTGAGGCAGGAGAATTGCCTGAACCCAGGAGGCGGAGATTGCGGTGAGCCGAGATCGCGCCATTGCACTCCAGCCTGGGTAACAAGAGCGAAACTCCGTCTCAAAAAAAAAAAAAAAAAAAAAAAAAAAAGGAGATCCTACTATTTACCACAACGTAGATAGACCTGAAGGACATTATATTAAATGAGATAAGCCAGACATACTGCATAATCTCACGTGTATGTAGAATTTTTTTTTTTTTTTTTAGACCGAGTCTTGTTTTGTTTCCCAGCTGGAGTGCAGTGGCACAATCTCAGCTCACTGCAACCTTTGCTCACTGCAGCCTTCGCCGCCCAGGTTCAAGCAAGCAAATTCCCCTGCCTCAGCCTTCCCAGTAGCTGGGACTACAGGTGCACGCTACCATGCCCGGCTAATTTTTTGTGTTTTATTAGGGACAGAATTTCACCATGTTGGCCAGGATGGTCTCAATCTCCTGAGCTTGTGATCCACTCTGCCTCGGCCTCTGAAGAGTATTTTTTGAAGCAGCTAAAATACACAGAATGAAACAATGGTTACCACTGTTGGTGGGGGGACGAAGAGGAAATGGGGGGATGTAGGTCAAGAATACAAAATAGCAGATATGTAGGATGAACAAGTTTAGAGATACAGGGGGACCAAAGTTAGTGAAATTGTATTAGAGTTTTTTGTTAAATAAGTAGATTTTAGCAGCTCTTGTTAAAAAATAATTATGTGAAATGATAGCTATGTTAATCTGCTTTACCGTTTTGCTATCTATATTCCATAGCATCATGTTGTAAACCTCAAATATGCACAATGAAATTTTGTTTTAAAAAAATTAGGGTGCAATAAAATGTGTAAATTCTTTAAGTCTTCATGAGTATAGGTGTTAACTTTGACATCTTATCAGAAAAAGTATATGACATTTGATAGAGTCTACATTTCAATTTTTATGGAGCATATTTTATTTAAATTTATTGAATTTGAAGCAGTTTGAGTTCTTTTCAGCCTTCACCTTCAGCCTATACCAGAAATTTCCAGACATAAAAGAGCTTTGTGTTCTTACGTAAGTTCTACTAATCTAAAACCACGTTTAAAAAGCAGTTTGCCTATAAGAAATTATGGAAGTCATTACAGTGTGTTACTGTCCTAAACCTGTGGTCATGTACCTTTTTATGTTCCTCAGATACATGTTGGAGTTGGTGGAAGGCAGAAGATTAGTAGAGAACTTGGAAAGAAGGGAAGGATCATTTGCATTGGACACTAGTGTTCCACAGTAGAAACTGATGTCTGGGAGAATGCCCCCTCAAGCTTTCCCTTTTTCACTTTAAAGAAGCTTTGCTTCCTCTCACTTTCATAACAGATCTATATTAGATAAAACATTAGTGGTTATTATAACAAAAATAAATTTTGCAGTTGGATGAACACTAATATCTGAGACAGTAGAAATGACATGAGTGAAGAACGGCTGCTTCAGACCATTATTAATTGGTGACTTGATGGTTTTCTTTTTGCTTGCTGATGGTGATCCTTGTCCCTATTTCAGACCATGCTTTTCTCATCAGTGATGCTTTTATACTAATAAACATATTCCAAGGGCAGACAGGTACACTAAAATGGGCTTATTCTTATCTTTCAAGACCGTGATTAAAACTATCCTAGTGAGTCTTCACTGATTACTAAAACCAGATGGCCAGTCAGCATCTGAATTTCTAAATCATTATGTATTATTCATGAGACAGCACATTTCCTTAAATATTAATGTTCGGGTCTGTAACTCTTTTTTCACCCCTCTTACCTCATACCTATGGGTACATACTCTTAATATTATGTATTAAACTGCACTGGGTAATGGGTGGTGTGGAGGATGCAATGGAGGGCTATCGGGCCACCCAGACCCTCTTAAAGCAGAGCCAGCGTGTTACAGGATTAAAATACTTACTAATAACTTTTTTTTTTTTTTTTGACATGGAGTCTCGCTCCGTCACCCACCCAGACTGGAGTGCAGTAGTGCAATGTCCGCTCACTGTAACCTCTGCCTCCTGAGTTCAAGCAATTCTTGTGCCTCAGCCTCCCACGTAGCTGGGACTACAGGTGTGTGCTACCATGCCTGGCTAATTTTTGTATTTTTAGAAGTGACAGGCTTTTGTCATGTTGGTCACGCTGGTCTCAAACTCCTGACCTCAAGTGATCTCCCACCCTCACCTCTCAAGAGTACTGGGATTACAGGTGTGAGCTACTGTGCCCAGCCTTTAATGACTCTTAAATTCCCCGAATGCATCTGTGAATCGTTACCCCCACCCCTACCCCTGGGATGCCTAGCAAAGTTCCTTGCTCATCGTTTTTGAAAATATCATACATTATTGGATTTTTTGTTTTCAAACATTTTAATTAATCATTCACATGACATGTTAGCTGGAAGTGAAATCTTACGTCTATGCTCCTCTGTACTGCTACCTCCCTACTCTGGCCCTCTACTTTCCACTGGCCTCTCAGTCAGGATCTACAGAGTTGATTGAAATTGAGTGATCTGCTAAGGTTAATCTGACTTTTCTGGTATTCTAAGGTTATAAATGACAGGGTTTAGGCTTGGACCCCTAAGATTGTTCCCTGCCGCAAGAGATAACCTGGTATGAAATTGGACTAGTATATTTTCTTGCATGTGTATTCCTGTTTTTATGATTCAATTCCTTTCCCTTTTTAGAACCCACTGACTCTTTAA